TGGAGGCTGTGTGCCTGTCCAACGTGCTGCTGCCCTCCCTTGCAGGTGGATGTGCAGTTTGTGAGGATGACCAAGCGCTTCATCCCCCTGGCTGAGATCAAGGCTCACCACCTGGCACACAAAGCAGATGGGGGCCCCCTCAAGGACATGATGCTCTTCAGCAGGCAGCGTCTGTCCATCCAGCCCCTCACACAAGGTGAGAACCTCCCACGACTCCTCATTCCCTCTGTCAGGCAAGCTGCAAGCTCCATTTATGGTTTTTCCTTCCTTACCACAGAGGAATTTGATTTTGTCTTGAGCCTGGAAGAGGAAAAGCCACATTAAAGCAGCCCAGCTCCCACCCAGCCCGCTGATGCCTCCTCCTCCACCAGCACAAGTCTCAAGTTCACCTGCTCAAGCACAGCACCACCAACATGCCACCACAAGACCTGCAGCCACACATCCCTTCCCCTGACACAGTTATTTTTGCTTATTTTTTCAGTAAATAAAGCCTTTTGGAATCAACTGCAGCTACTTGGGTTTTAAAAGTAGGGAAATCTGCAATTTATCTCTTGAGAAAGAAACAGGTACATCTTCTTTGTTTAGTTTGGGGTCTAGTGCAGCTCCATGTACTGCAGAGGGACATTTAGAAAATTAGAATCAGACAATTTAGAAAATTTAGATTCATTGAATGGCCTGGGTTGGAAGAGACCTTAAAATCATCTCATTCCACCCCTTACCATAGGCAGGGACATTTTCCACTATCCAGGGTGCTCCAAGCTCTGTCCAGCCTGGCTTTGGACCCTTCCAGGGATGTGGCAGCCCCACAATCACGAGGAATTTCTCCCCAACATCCCATCTAAACTATTTTCTGAAAGTTTGAAGCCATTTCCCCTCCTCCTGTCAGTGCATGCTGTTGTAAACAGTCTCTCTGGAGATGGCCACACAAAGCAGATCACACTGAACTTCCTGCAGGTACAGAAGTTCCCATGTTATTTTAGTTCTGACATCAGGGAAATGGAAGAAAATAAAGCCAGCCTGCTAATTTTCAAGCCACATGGGTCCTCCACCAGCACAGCTGCCAAGCAGTGACACAGCTAAAAGAAAGACCAAGGATTTATAAAGATAACAAAGGACAAACTCCTCCAGCATGTTTGAGAGCTGCACACTGTGGCACTTTTAAAGAAATATCTCCTCATACCACTGAAAAAACCCCAACCCAACCCAATATAAATCACCACACAAACTCATGCACAGCATTTGACAGCCAGGGCTGGCTCTTTTTAATTGGAGAGACAAAAAAACCCAAGTTTTAAAATACAGCCATTGAAAAGACGACGAATTAAGAAACATGTAAACACAGCAGAGGCTTAATTACAACTTGCACTGCTTGGTTTGGTACCTGCCCACTCCCCTGTGCCTGGGAGGGAGGGAATGAGCCAAGTACAGCACAGAACCACCAGCTCAGGGGGCAGGAGTGCCCCTGGACATGCCAACACAACACTGCTCTGGAGTACCTTGTCCTGGAGTGAGCCCAGCACATCTGCTCCACCCCACACAAACACAGGGCTAACAGGCTGAAAATGGTCCTTCAGATTCAGTAAAAACGGGGATCACTTCTGAATTCTGGTTCCACACACAGGGACATGGGGTAGGAAAAATCCCCCAAATCAATGTACAGGCTCAATCAATGTTTAGGCTCAATCAATGTACAGATTCATGCACCTTTTCCAAAGGAACCCTCCAGGAGTGATGAGCAGATGTTGAAGCCACCTCCTTCCAGCCAGGCAATGATCTCACACCCAGCCAGGCAGGAAAAAACCACTCCTGGAATGCAGAGACATCTCCATCCAGGGGGTTTCTTTCCTGCCACATGGCCTACAATCCAGGGGAATAAAGGGAATAAAGGAATAAAGGAGTAAAGGAATAAAGGGAATAAAGGAATAAAGGCAAGGAGGGAGCTGAAGGAAAGCTGAAGAAGATTGTAAGGGCACTGCTGTGCTCAGTTCCCCTTAGAAGAACAGTTTGCTATCCCCAAGGAGCCTCACTTGTCCCTATAGGATTGTGCCTGGCTGCAGCACAGCCACGTCCCCCAAAGGAAGGGAGGGAGGAGTGTCCCCAGTGCCATCCAGGGTTCCCTGCCATGTCAGAGGTGCCCAGCCCTGCCCTGGCACAGCAGGGTGATTGTTGTCTGCAGGGATATTTTGCCCCTGGGAAGGCAGGGCCCAGCCCATGGCACAGACTCCCCAAGGGGGGACAAGAAAGCCATGTCCTCAGTGGGGCACAGCAGAACCAGGGGTGACAGGGGAGGGAAGAGTGTCCCCAGTGACATCCAGGTCCCCTGCCATGGAGGGACAAGCCAGCCAGGTCCTCAGTGGGGCACAGCAGAACCAGGGGTGACACAAGCACTGAGCAGAGATGAGCATTAGTGTCCTCTACAGAGCGAGACTGGCCAGCTCCACTACAAACCACAACCTTACACGTGGTGAGGAAAAGATAACTGACTTTGGCAAGCAGAAACACACATTTATCACTGAATACAGTAGCTGTCATGACAGAAAAAGCTCCCCTTCCCACCCCAGCCCCACTCCCTCCACCAGCACCGTCCCACTGAGCACAGCAGACACTTCCATTGCCCAGATACCTGCTCCACACTCAGCTGCAGGACAGAGGAGCTTGATTCCAGAGCCAAAAGGAAGCTGGACAAACTAACAAGCCACAAACTCAGGGAAATCCAGACAAATCCCACTTGACAGAGCTCCTATCCCAGCACTTGGTGCAGGCTGGTCTCTCCCTGGGGTAGGAGGTGTCACCACCTGCTTGAACAGGATGGACATCCTCCAAACTCAGGCAATCAAGTCTACAAAGCCACATCTGATTTTTAATGGAGGAGTGACTTCCTTCTGGGAATGTTCTCATGAGTCTACTTAGCTGAAGGCTAAAAGCAGCTTATTTAAAAAAAAAAGAAAACCCACATTCAGGTTCTCAGCTCACTGCGTGCTCTCAGACCTCGCTGGTGACTTCAGCTCAGGCCTCAGGCATGTGTCTCTGGAATCAGAGCTCTGCCACCCTTCCAGGTGCTGCCTGGCTCCTTCCAGCAGCCCACACTGGCCTGTTTGAGCCTCCCACAACCACTGCATTCCCCTTCTGTCCCCACTAACCCTCATCCTGCAGGCAGCAAACCTCAGCAAACCAGACCACGTGCACGTGTCCCCACCCTACTGTCCATCCCCACACACAGCCTGCTCTGTCCCCAGGACACAGACACAGGCAGGGCAGCACAAACCCACCCACAGGAGAGCCCCCAAGAGCTCCAGAGCTGCTCTCCACACCTCCCTGCAGCAGCACCTGAGAGCAGCAGCCGAGTGTGGATCTCGGGACAAGATGAGGAAGGCACAGCTCATGGCCAGGAGCCTTCCTGGCCCCACTTGTTGCCCACCCATGAGCACTGGGACCGTCACCGCTCTGCCCACCCCACGGCACCTCCTCCTGCAGCCACAGCTCCCGGTGGGACACAGCTCCACGTGGCTGGGTGGCAGTCCCAGGGCTGAGCCACCTCCAGCATCCAGCTGCTTGTGGCAAGGAATCCAACGCCAGCACGAGAGGAAGAAGGGGAAGCAGCGAGGGGATGACACCACAAGGTTTCCAGCAGGCCACAGCAGTCTCTGATCCCTCCTCTAGCTCCTTCTGCTAGGACCTCCATCCAGCTCATCACCGGGCAAGATTTCGGAAAGGCAAGGAGAACATCCATCCTGCACAGCCCCAAAGCACCCTGGGCCTTCCCCGCTCTCTCCTTCCCCACAGCTGTGGGAGCCCTCGGGGCACAGAGGAGCTCAGGAGGAGATCAGGAGCTCGGCCACGGCCTCCAAGCAGCCATGGCCTCCAAGGAATGGATGGACTGGGCAGTGCCAGGCACCACAGTGCAGCTGGCCGAGCCCTCCCGCCCCGTCCCACCCCGCCAGTCCTCCGAAGAAAGGAATGCAGTCAGATCCGGGTGTTTATTCAGGGAGGTCCCTGCGAGTCCCGCGCTGCTGGGGGGTCCCGGCGCCCCCCGGCCTCACTGGCGGCCGTTGTTGTCCGCGGGCTGCCCCGGGGCCTTGGGCTCGCCGTGCGCCGAGCTGCCCTCGAAGCGCTGCGACGCGATGGCCGCCTGGTGGGACATGCTCTTCCTCACGATGTCCCCTTTCCTCCACAGCACCACCTCCTGCAGGGACACAGCAAGTGCTTGTCAGGGCTCCCGAGACCTTCTGCTGAGAGAGACCCTTCTGCTGAGAGAGACCCTCTGCTGAGGGAGACCCTTCTGCTGAGGGAGACCCTTCTGCTGAGGGAGACCCTTCTGCTGAGGGAGACCCTTCTGCTGAGGGAGACCCTTCTGCTGAGGGAGACCCTTCTGCTGAGGGAGACCCTTCTGCTGAGGGAGACCCTCTGCTGAAACCTTCTGCTGAGAGAGACCCTTCTGCTGGGACCCTCTGCTGAGAACAACCTTCTGCTGAGACCTGGTAGGACCTTCTGCTAGGATCTTCTGCTGAGAACCTTCTGATGAAACTCTCTACTGAGACCCTCTGCTGAGAGAGACCTTCTGCTAGGACTTTCTGCTGAGACCTTTTAAGATCTTCTGCTGGGACTGGCTAAGACCCTCTGCTGAGACCTCCTGCTAGGACCTTCTGCTGAGGGTGCTAGCACCCTCTGCTGAGACCTGCTGGGACCTTCTGCTGTGACCCTCTGCTGGGACCTCCTGCTGCCTCACCCAGCCACACAGGGTGAGCCAGGCTCCATGTTCCACCCACAGCCAGGACACACCTGGCAGTGCCTAAGGTGAAGCACAGAAGCTCCACCACTGAGCAGAAATGATATCCCAGGCATGCATTTTCCAGAGTCCTCCTCACCACCACACACATCTGACCTACATGGACATTCTTCTAGAAAATATCTGCTGAGACTTCTGCTGCCCCACCCAGCCCTGCAAACTGAACCAGGCTTGGTTTTCCACCCACAGCCAGGACACACCTGGCAGTGCAGTCACCTGAAATTTGGGTAAAAGCTCCCCCCTGGGGTCATAGAGGACATTCACAGCATCTCTGTCCTTGTGCCACTGGTAAGGTGAAGCACAGAGGCTCCACCACTGAGCAGAAAAGACATCCCAGGCAGGTTCCTCCTCACCACCACCCACATCTGACCTGCATGGACATTCTTCTAGATCATCCCTCCATCTGATGAATCCCAAAATGGACATTCTTCTAGACTATCTTTCCACTTGTTGAATCCCAGATTCCCAGCAGGTCCTTGGAAAAGCATCCCACTGAACCATGCACGGGTCCAAGGAGAGCAGCAGCCCTGGTTCTCACCTGCTGTTTGAAGTAGCGCCGCTCCTCCTCATCAATCAGCACCAGGTTGAGGTAATAACGCACAGAGAACTTCTTGTTGATGTCCCTCATGGTAGGAGTCAGCTCATAGCCAGCCAGAAAGAGCCTGATGGGAATGGACTCCCCTGGAAAGGGCACAGAGCTGTCAGATCAGACAGGACGCAGAGAGAAACCAGCAAAACACAAACTCACATGGCCACAACCTTGTCACCGTTTCCACAAGTGGGCTAACATGAGCTAGAAGACCTCAACTCCCTCCAGAAACCAGCATGCATGGTCCTCAGCCACATCCTGCCCTTGCTGACAGCTATTCCAGCTCCACTCTAACAGCACAGGACTCTTTTGGCACCTGCAGCAAGGCAGCACTGCAGGAAAAAACGAGGAAGGTGACATTTTCTCTGCTGGGCAAAGAACAGTGGCACAGGAGATTGGCACAGAGCAAGAGCACCACCTCTGCTCTGAGCTGCAGCAATGCCAGCTGCTGGCCCATGCCAACTGTAAATTTATAGCTGGTTCTGCCACTGCCTCATCAAAAGAATTATGATTCTGTCTTAGCTGCCCCTCATCGCACTGGAGAAGGAAAGGGATCAGATCAATCCCCTGATCTGAGCCCACAACAGTGGAAAGGGATGCTGAGCACAGAGAAAGTACTGCAAGGGTTATATTCCCACCCCAAAATCCTCCAGGGGAGCAGTGCTGGGGGCTCCTGTGCCCTCTCACCTCTCACAGGTGCCCCATCCATGATCTCGTACTTGGCTATGGTGTCGTTCTCGTGGTACACGTTGGGCCCCGTGCCCGTTGTCTCCCTCTTGATGATGTCTATCTCCATGTGCTTGATCTTGATCCGCACCAGCAGGAAGTAGATCTTCCCCACAATCACATCTTTTAAATGGTACCTGGCAGGAAACACCAGGATCAAACCCTGTGCAGCAGAGCAGGGCTCAGGCTGACGTGCAGGAACTTGCTGGGCAGGCACTTTGCTCTCATCCCCAGCAGATGGCAAATCAACCACTCCCACCAGCCACCAGCCCTTCATTTCCATCCTCTGCTCTTTTGGAAACACACAAGAACATTTAGCACCAGCAGATAGATTAAATACTTTGCTTCAGGCTGAATTTCTGCAAGAAACCCCTGTAAGAGCAAAGGTTCCAAACTCAGTATTTTACATCAATTAAAAATCACAGAATCATTTAGGTTGGAAAAGACCTCTGAGATCACTGAGTCCAACCACCACTTGAAGGAAGATTTGCCAGCACCAGCTGGGAAAGATGCACTAAGAGTAGCTTAAAAGAGCTCTTCCCAACTTCTTTGCTAGAGTTAATTCCCACTTCAGCTGTATTGCCTGGAAAGGAGCAAACACTGCCTTTTGAAGACACCTGGAAGTGCTGATCTGGATACAGGAGTGGGAAGCTACAGCAAGAATTTCATGCTGTGCTCCAGGCTCAGTGAGCCACAGCCATTGCTTCCCATCCCCTGAGCCAGAGAGATGGGGAAAGGAGAGGAACCCATGGACCAGGGAGGCTCTGAGCTGCCTCCCAGCCTCTCTGGAGCACGTGTGAGACATCAACTTCAAGGAATTTAGAGATTTTAGAGGAGCTGAGATTTTAGTCAGAGATAAGCTTTACTGGAGTTAATTAAAATCAATGGGTAGGCCTTGATGAAGTTAAGAGTTAGTAGTTAACTAATAATTGATTGCTTGTAAGCACAATGTTTGGTTAGCTGGGTTTATAATGAAGAATATAGAAACTGATAAAGAGCTTTTAGGAACATCAGACAATTGTGGCCTCCTCTGTTCTGAAACCAGCTGAAGATGGGGAGTGGGAGTTCTCCCAAGGGTTCATTTGTCAGATTTGCATTGAAAAGGTAGAAAGGTCAGAATGAGGAAGACTTCATTGACTTCCTCATTTTGGGACCCCTCCCCATGAAAGGGACCACCGACCCATTTCAAGGAACAAACTGCACATGCTTAATAGCTTTTGAACTAATTACCATGCTTAATAACTTTTGAACTAATTACCATAGGAAGCGGGGAATGAGATGTACCAAAGTCATGAATATGCATTTGTATTTTGGGTATTCAATACCTGTACAGATAAAAGGACTCTGTAATCACCTGTAAATTGCAGCGTGTATTTGGGAGCTATCCCACAATAAACAAAAAATTTCTAACTTTAAACTGCTAGAGAGTTTTTGGATATTGGTACCAGATCAATACCCATATTGGGAATGGAATGAACCAAAGTTATGAACATGCATTTGTACTTTGGATATTCAATACTTGCACAGATAAAAGGGCTCTGTGATCACCTCTAAATTGTGGTGTGTATTTGGGAGCTATCCCACAATAAACAAACACTTTCTAACTTAAAGCTGTTAGAGAGTTTTTGCCTGTCACAGTTGGATATCAGTACTAGATCAATATCCATACTGGGAATGGGATGTACCAAAGTTATGAACATGTGTTTGTACTTTGGGTATTCAATACTTGTATAGATAAAAGGGCTCTGGAATCACCTGTAAATTGTGATGTGTATTTGTATTTGGGAGCTATCCCACAATAAACAAACACTTTGTACATTTAAACTGTTAGGGACTTTTTGCCCGTCACAGTTGGATATCAGTACTAGATCAATATCCATATTATTTTAAATAAATCACTTGGACATGGAATTCCTTTGAGGAAACCCCAGCAGGTGGGTCCCCGGATGCTCCTGAGCCACTCACTTGGATTTGTTGTACTCGAACTCGATGTGCAGGCAGTCCTCAATGCCCACTTCCATCTTGATGGAGGAGTTGAGCTCGGGGTAGGTGCTCAGCGTGTGCACAACGATGTCCATCTCCTTCACCACGTCGTTCAGCCGGCGGCTCACGGTGGCACGGAGGAAATACCTGCAGGGACAGTTGTCATGAGCATATTTCATCAAAAATCCTTTCCTTAGGATCTTTTCTCCTGAGAAGCCGAGAGGCCTCAGAAATGAAATGTAAGCAATGGTTATCTGCTGCTGTGGAATGCAACAGGTGCATCTTTGGTCTCATGTGGTTGTTTTTAATTAATGCAAATCACAGTCCGGCTGTCTCGGACTCTCTGGGCAGTCACAAGATTTTATTATCATTCCTTTCTATTCCTTGCTAGCCTTCTGATGAAATCCTTTCTCTTTCTTTAGTGTAGTTTTAATATATCATTTTCTTTTAATATAATATATATCATAAAATAATAAATCAGCCTTCTGAAACATGCAGTCAAGATTCTCATCTCTCCCCTCGTCCTGTGAGCACCACCACAGACAGTCCCCTCCCATCAGGGTCACAGCAGGGACAGCCCCAGGGGGCTTGGGCTGTGCTATTTTCACTACACAGATCCATGTGAAGAGCTGAAATGCATTTCAATGCAAATCTAAACAGAACGTGTGATCAACTCTGCAGATCCACAGAGAAAGTTCCTTTTTCCCACTGAAGCTTGGAGCTTTCTCCTTGGCAAGGTGAGGTGCTCAGTTCAGCTCGTGCACAGCTGAGAGGACAGCCAGCATTTCAAGAACAGGGAATGGGGAATGTCCAAATAGATTAAATAAGCAGGAAACCAGAGAATTGCCACAAGGAAGCAGAAGAGCAAGGAAGCTCCTCCTCCCATGTCATCTGCTGTTACACTGCTCTTTTTTAGCCCAGGTCTGAACAAAATAAATCCACAGTAAAAGAGCCCCCAGCTCTTTACATGTACCTGCCCCTGGAGCAGCCAACACCCCACACTGGAAAAGGCAGAAGGGAATTTTCAGATGGAAAAGCAGAATTCTCTCAGCTTCCAAGCATTTGTGAGCCTGGGTTACCTAAGCCCCGTTTTGGGGCTCTGAGGAGCAGCCTGCACATGTTCAAACCACTGCCCTTTTGCAAGATTACATCAGGCTGCACAGCCACACCTCCCAGTGCAGATCTCAGACTTGTCCAACCCCCACTTTGAAGGCAGTGAAAGGATTTTGAGTCGACTGAGTGCCTTGATGTGAAATATCATTTCTAACATATGAACAAGGCACCAGCGAAGCATCTGTTTGCATACAGAGCACAATTAAAGTTGACAAGACTGATTACAGCAAAAATATCCCCACTGGAGACTAAACCAAACAGTTTATTTTGATTTTTTGAATTATCAAATAAATGAGCAAGTATTTGACTCAAAAGGGGCTGATTTCTCTTGTCACTCAAAAGGGGAAAAACAAGTTCCATAAAGAGCCTGATGCATGCTTGTAAAATAAAGACCTCAAAGGCAGCTTTTTACAACTCAAAATTAATTGGGAGTTCTGCATCATCAGAGTGAATATCAGCACTCACTCAGAGCAGAACTGGGGTCAGCCAGGGCAGGGCACTCACCTTAGCTTCACATTCTGCCCCGTGTAGGACTCGTAAGGTTTCTCCACGTGGGTGAACTCAAAGTCAAACGTTTGTGACTGAGTGAATTCCCCAGGCCGGGCCAGGTCCTTCACCAGGGACACGAACTCGTGGTGGTTCCCTCGGTCATAGTAGAGCTCTAGGGAAATGGAAATCCAGGTTAAGCTGAACCCCAGGTGACACAGGAGATTTTCAGCAACTCTCTTGTCCAGGTCCCTCCTTCCTTCAACACCATTCACCAGGGGAATGCACTTGTTCCCTGCTCTCCATCAGAGCCAGGCGCAGGCCACAACTTTCCTCCCTGAAACAGGAAGGAAAAGGTCCCCACAACCTCCTTTACTACAATAAATCAAGAACTTGCCTTGGGGAGGCACAAGTTGCCTATTATCAATATTAAATATGGTCTGTGGCTCATGCGAACCCTTCCAATAATCTTCTGCACGGTATTCCAGGCCAAAGGCATTGCCCCTGTGAGGAAAAGCCACCACTGCTTGTCTGGAACAGCCAGAGCAAAATCAGGGGACACAATGATTCCAACTGCTCCTGCTTATCCTTGGGCAGCAAAGAGCCTGAGTGGCCTTGGGCTGCAGCAGGGAATAAATGGCAATGCTGATCCTGCTGCACAGCCAGCCTGTGTGTGGGGAGGCAGCTGAATCCTCCAGCCCATGGGTAACACATCCACGGCCATGTGAGCACGGTGAGGGAAGAGCTCTCACCTCTGGAAGCTCTGCTCAAACCAGCTCAAGTGACCAGCACTCCTCGCTTTTCCCCACAACCCTCCCACAGCAGCAGGAAACTACAGCTTTCCTCATTTAATGAAAGCAATCCTCCACACCTCCACTGAGTTTTCAGCCTCAAGACAAAGCAACAAAACCCTCCAATCTCTGCAATTTGCATGAACAGCTTGGGATTACCCAAACCATCAATGAAACCTGCCCTTCCCAGCCCTGTGTGTGAGCCTGTGCCTACAGGACACCCACACAGTCCTTCTGCAAGGCAAAGCCTTTCTGCTGAGATGAGGAAACAAAAACCTAAGTCATCACACAGTCACACTCACAAACTCAGTGTCAGCACTAAACTGTGCAGAGGAGGCTTCTGAGAGGTATTAGAGGTGCTCAGGAACTGCAGTTCAGCCCTCCTTGAGATGCACAATGAGATTTCAGCTTTTAAGTGATGCCTGTTCCTCACAGCCCTGTGCTCACCTTATCTCTCTAATGGAAATTTTGGCACCGGAGCCCCCCTCACTTACGCACAACAGCGAATGTCACCAAGCCCTTTAGGCTGGGCAGGTGACATAAATAACCCAGCCTCTGTCTGTGCACTGAATTTGTGTGTCCACTGAGAGGACAGTGCTCGCTGATGTGACAGGGAGAAGCCACGTGCCAACAGAAAAAAGAGGAAACAGGCACAGAAAAGGAGGAATCAGCCCAGACCATCGTGACACATGATGCAGAAAGCACAAATCAAAAAAGCAAGGGGAGGCAGATGTCAGTGCACTGAGCTCTCTGCTACCTCAGATGGTCGTGGTTGGCACCCTGCAGCCTTTAGCAGAGTGATGTTTCCCACACTCCAGCCTGTCAAACAGGTATAAGCTGTAATTTCAGGTTTTCAGAGCTATAAGGTTTTCAGAGCTATAAGGTTTCCAGAGTGAGAAAACAACCTGCCAACATTTCAGTGGCTTGCTCAGGCCACAGCCACCACAGGTGAAACCATCTGGAATGGGTTCTGGGCTCGCCTGGGATCAGGCAGGACCCAGCACTCACAGTGTGGCCTTTGGTACCTGCTCTGGAGCATCTTCCCTGCAAAACACCCCTCCTTCACATCCCTGTTAAATTGCCTCACCTCCATGCTCGTCTCGTGGCAGCAAGAAGTCAGAATACAAGATGGAAAGCATTGAGAAATGCAATTAGTGGAACAAACTTCAGTGATTTATCAAAAAGGCCTGAGGGGCATAAGGACTGACGTGCAGCCACAGCAGCTGTAACACACCCTGCTTGGGCAATCATGTGCATACAAAGCAGTAATTCCATGCAGGCATGGCTCAAAAGCCTTCCAAAACAGGGAATGAGTTGCAGGCAAGGCAGCACAGCAGAGACAGTGGAGCAGGAAACAAAGTTCATGCTTAATTTCCACTGGGACTGTATCAATAGGAGCTCCTGGTGAGCAGCCTCACCTACACTCCCTCATTTACACACTCCTTTCCTTTCCAAAAACCAGAGTCAGGCACAAGCACAGCCAATAAAACTCAAACAGCAGCATGGGGCTGGGTGGGAAATCTCCTGCTCATGTTCCCTCACCACACGATTTGCAATGCAAAGGCTGCAGGCCCTTGGCTCCAGCAGTGATTTTGGGGTTTTAGAGCCAAGCACAGAGAGCCACAGATGTGAGGCCTCACACGCAGCCACGGGAAGGAACATCCTGAATTTATTTTGGCTTGTGGGGCTCAAGGCATGTCCGTGGAGCAGGGACAGCTCTGCTCCGATGGAGGAGTGGGTGTGGCAGCTGCCTTTCCCCTTCGAAAGCAGGAAATATTAAACCTGAATTGCTTACACGCACAGATAACCACAAGTTTTGAACAACTTGAAGTCACCCAACCAACCGTGCAGGGGTGCGTGGAGGAGAAGGTGGGATCAGCCAGGGTGAGCCTTCAGGCTCAGGAAAGGGGATTCACCCAGGGAAAAAAGGGACACAAGGACAAAACCCACCCCATCATCACCCTCAGCATCCCTAAGAGGATCAGCAGGCAGGCAGCTCCTGGAGCAGGAAGAGCCAGCACGGGGACCAGGTCAGGGCTGAGCTGCAGCTGCAGGATGGAACCAAAGCACGCCCGGCTCAGAGCTAAACCAGTGACCGAGCAGAAGAGAGAAATTAGGACAGGAGAACAATGACCTGGAAAAGGACTGGAATGCCCTTCCTTCTGCCAGGGCTCGAGCCTGGAGAACAGGCCAGGCTGCCCAGCTCAGAGGGCGGAATAACGTCCAGCAGCCGTGGGAATGCTGCGTGCAGCCAGGAGCGAGAGGAACCTGCTCAACACCAGTGGGATCCCAGTGCCGTGGGGCACAGCAATGCCCCCAGACCCCCAGTACCAATGGGACCCTAGTGCCATGGGGCACAGCAATGCTCCTGGACTCTGAGTACCAATGGGATCCCAGTGCCATGGGGCACAGCAATGTCCCCAGACCCCCGGTACCAGTGGGTTACCATGGGATGCAGTGATGCTCCCTGCACTCTCAGCACCAGCAATGCTCTCTGGATCCCCGGCACCCGCAGGGATCTCAGTGCCATGGGGCACAGCAATGCTCCCCAGACCCCCAGTACCAGTGGGGTCTCAGTGCCATGGGGTTCAGCAATGCTCCCCAGACCCCAGTACCAGCGGGATCTCAGTGCCATGGGGTCCAGCAATGCTCCCCAGAACCCCAGTACCAGTGGGGTCTCAGTGCCATGGGGCACAGCAATGCTCCCCAGACCCCCAGTACCAGCGGGATCTCAGTGCCATGGGGTTCAGCAATGCTCCCCAGACCCCCAGTACCAGTGGGGTCTCAGTGCCATGGGGTCCAGCAATGCTCCCCAGACCCTCAGTACCAGCGGGATCTCAGTGCCATGGGGTCCAGCAATGCTCCCCAGACCCCTGGCACCTGTGGGATGCAGTGATCCTCCCCGGAGCCCCGGCAGCAGCGGGATCCCGGCACCCACGAGGGCCATCAGGAAGGGACC